GGGGAGGAGGAGGAGGAGGAGGAGGAGGAGGAGGAGGAGCTCCTCCGTACATTCTTCACGGTCCCCCTGGGACGGGGAAGACGACGACTATCGTGAAGGCTATCTGTCACATTTACAAGAATTATCCCTCCTCTCGCATCCTAGTATGCACGACGACGAACACTGCTGCTGACTCCTTGTTGCTGGCTCTTGTGGGTTGTGGGGTAAATAGGGGTATATTGCGTTTGAATGCCTACACCAGGCCATTGGAGGGGTGGAGCCCTGTCCCTGAGGAGGTGGTGAGGTTGTCGAACAGACACAATGGTGGAGGGTTCGAGACCCCGACTGTCGGCGAGCTGATGGGATACCGTGTCTTGGTGTCCACGAGTTGTTCAGCTACTTGTGTCTGGCAAGTCGGGATGAGACCGGAGATGTTCACCCACGTGTTCGTCGATGAGGCTGGGAGCATGGTGGAAACCGAGTGCCTCATTCCCATAACCTGTGGCCTTCACCAGAGGTCCGTCGTGGTACTCGCGGGTGATCCCCAGCAGCTTGGTCCCATTGTGCACTGCGTTCTTTGCAAGGAAAGGAGGGGAGGGGGAGGGGAAGACGGAGAGGGAGAGGGAGGGGGAGGTGGAGGTGGAGGGGGAGGTAGAGGGAGAGGGGGGGAACTGGAAATGTCCCTTCTTGAGCGTCTGATGACGAAGGAGCCATCGAGGTCTATCTATGTGAATGGGCTTGCTCGAGAGGGGGGTAGTGGTGGTGGTGGTGGTGGTGGTAGTGGTGGTCCCCTACCACGGTTCTTTTCTACCAAGCTGATCAGAAACTACAGGTCGCATCCGGCCATCCTCGAACTGCCGTCTCGTTTGTTCTACAACAACGAGCTTCTTGCTGAAGCCAACGTGCTGACGAGGTCCTCGCTTTGTCTCTGGGATATGCTTCCGAACAAGAACCAGTTCCCACTTCTGTTCCATGGGGTGGATGGGACTGCCATGCGAGACGAAGACAGCCCCTCCTTCTATAACGCCGAGGAGTGTGCTCAGGTCGTGCGCTACGTGGAAAATCTGCTGGCCGACCGCACGCTCGGGCTTCGATCCGCTGACGTCGGGGTCGTCGCTGCTTATCGCAGGCAGGTGCAGAAGCTGCAGCAGTACCTCCTCAGCAAGCCTCTGTCCGAGGACCTCAAAGTGGGTTCCGTTGAGGAGTTCCAGGGCCAGGAAAGGAGGGTGATCGTTCTGACGACGGTCCGTTCGGACCCGGCCTTTGTTCAAGATGACTACAGGCAAAACATCGGATTCGTCAAGAACCCCAAACGCCTGAAYGTTGCRATCACRAGGSCTATGCACCTSCTCATMATAGTGGGAAATCCCAAAGCTCTCAACCCGGTCAGTGGACTCAGTGCCCTCTCTCTCTCTCTCTCTCTCTCTCTCTCTCTCTCTCTCTCTCTCTCTCTCTCTCTCTCTCTCTCTCTCTCT